AGAAGGGAGGGCAGGAAGGGTTGCCTCAGTGCCTAGTTCTTGTGGCCTTTTCTTACACGCCCAGGGAAATGCCGATCACCACTTTGGGATCAGTAAGCAGTTTTTCTTCAGGCCAGTTTGGTGGGGGATCCTGGAGGTTTTTTGTGCCCTCTTCTGGGCATGGAGCAGGGATCACTGGGAGTGTGTGTGTGGGGGGGGCATTTGTGAATTTCCTGCCTTGTGCTGGGGGGTTGACTAGATGATCCCAGAGGTCCCTTCCAACTCCATGATTCTATGATCTCGTCACAGCTGGGTTTGGATCTCTCTATGGGCTCCAGAGACCCTGTAGGTTTCCTAGCAAGGCTCCTACACTTTTCAGCTGTGTGTGACAGGCAGATACCCAACCGGTTGACATTTCTTCTTTACCTACATATCTGGGGAGGGGGTTTGTGCAACCACTGTTCCCTCTAAGCTGCGGAGTCTTGTGAGCAAAAATCCTACTTTGTGAGCTGCTGGCATTAAGGTTGTGAGCGAGCGATTTGGCAACTGCATAAATTATTTTGCTCTGGAACCCCATCCTTCCTGAGCCGAGACAAAAAAATGTGTGAGCTGGAGGCTTAAAAACTGTGCACTAGCTCACACTAACTCAGCTTAGAGGGAACACTGCTCTGGAGCCATCCTTCCTGAGCTGAGACAAAAAATGTGTGAGCCGGAGGCTAAAGAACTGTGCACTAACTCACACTAACTCAGCTTAGAGGGAACACTGCTCTGGAGCCATCCTTCCTGAGCCGAGACAAAAAATGTGTGAGCCGGAGTCTCAAGAACTGTGCGCTAGCTCACAGTAACTCAGCTGAGAAGGAACACTGGTTGCAACTGCTAAATTTTTGAAAGCAAGAGAGAGATGATCTCATGCTATATAACCACATGCACAGCAGGGCTGAATCCTCACCCGGTAGTCATTTGAGAGCGCCCGAGAGCCTGGAGGAGCCCTTCCAGTCAGAGCGAAGTGGACCGGGCAGAGGGGGGTGCCATCCATTCATGCCTCTCCTTCTCCCCCCTCCGTCCTCTTTCCCCAACAGGAGCCCTATTACGTCCGTTGCATCAAGCCCAATGACCAGAAGTCACCGCACCTCTTTGACGAGGAACGCTGCTGCCACCAGGTGTCCTACTTGGGACTGCTGGAGAACGTGCGGGTCCGACGGGCCGGTTTCGCCTACAGACAGCCCTATGACCGCTTCCTGCTCCGGTAGGCATGATCCTGGTCCTTCCCTGCGCCCTCAGAAAGGCCACCTCAGTATGGGACAAGGAAAGTGAGAGCTGGTGTGGAATAGTGGACAGAGCGGGGGACTGGGATCCAGAGCAACCCGGGTTCGAATCCCCGCTTTTGCCATGGAAACTCGCCGGTCGACCTTGGGCCCGTCACAAACTCTCAACCTGGCCTGCCTCGCAGGGGTGTAGTCGTGGGACAAGGGAGGCGGGGAGAACGGTGTTCTAGAAGCCTCTTTGAGTCCCAACTCGGGAGAAAAGCAGGATATAAATAGATAAATGCATGTAAATAAACGCAGGTGCAAGGGCCGAGCTTTGGCTGCGCTTGCGGGTGACGCATGTATCCACCTTGCTTCTTTCTCAGTATCAGTCAGCACTGGAAAACTGGAGGGACCCCTTCCCTCTGCAGCCCCTCTGGAGCTGACCTGTGATAGAAGTATGTGAATTAGTTGATCATCATATGGCATTGTGTGTAGTACAGCCAGGAGATCCTAAGATTGTCTGGCAGCTGGAGTTCTAGCTCTTTTAGTGTTATGCACCACTAGGTGGCGAGCTAGACTTTTTTTTAGCTGAGAGAGCTCTGAAACAGCTGTGATTGACCCAAGGTCACCCAGGCGGCTTCATGTGGAGGAGTGTGGAATCTAACCTAGTTCTCCAGATTAGAGTCTGTCGCTCTTAACCACTACACCATGCTGGCTATCCTACATAAATATGTAGTTCTGGCCCAGCCATAGAAGGAGAAGGAGAAGAGGAGGAGCTTGGATTTATACCCTGCCCTTCACTACCTGAAGGAGTCTCAGAGCGGCTCTTCCCCTCCCCACAACAGACACCCTATGAGGTAGGTGGGGCTCAGAGAGCTCTTTCGAGGACTGCTCCTGAGAGAACAGCTCCGAGAGAACCTGTGACTGACCCAGGGTCACACCAGCAGCTTTCTGTGGAGGAGTGGGGAATCAAACCCAGGTCTCCCAGATTAGAGCCCGCGCACTTAACCACTACACCAAACTGGCTTTCAAGGAGGAGGAGGAGGAGGAGAAGAAGACGAAGAGAAGATTGGGTTTATACCCCCACCCTTCACTACCCGATGGAGTCTCAGAGCAGCTTACAAACTCCTTTCCCACTCCCCACAACAGACACCCTGTGAGGTAGGTGGGGCTGAGAGAGCTCTTTCGAGAACTGCTCCTGAGAGAACAGCTCTGAAAGGACTTGTGACTGACCCAAGGTCACACCAGCAGCTGCATGTGGGGAATCAAACCCGGTTCTCCCAGATTAGAGTCCGCGCTCCTAATCACTCCACCAAATTAGAGGTGAAAGGAGCTTCCTCTTTGGGCACCACAGTTCTGGGCAGACGCCCTAGATATGGAAAGAGTCACTCCTTGTACTCTGGGAGGAGGTTCTAGAAGTATGAGGGGCCCAATGCAAGTGGAGGAATTATTAGTTCCCTTTGTTTGAGAGGCAGGACGGTGCAGTCGTTGGAGCGACGGACTCAGGACTGGGAAAATATCAGGTCGGGATCCCCGCTCTGCCCTGAAGGCCTGCTGGGTGACCTTGGGCCGCTCTCGGCCTCGAGTCAGTCTCGCCTACCCCCACCTCAGAACAGGCCGTTCACTGGTCCCTCACTGTCCCGCCAGGTACAAGATGACCTGTGAGTACACGTGGCCCAACCACCTCATGGCCACGGACCGCGAGGCCACCCAGGCCCTGATGGAGCAACACGGCTTCCAAGACGACGTCGCCTACGGGAACACCAAGGTCTTTATCCGCACACCGCAGACTCTCTTCTGCCTGGAGGAGGCGCGAGCCCAGCTGATCCCCATCATCGTGCTGCTACTGCAGAAGGTACCGGGAGGTTCACTCCTTGAGTGCATTTGTGTCAGTGTCACACGTGCCACACCAGTCAGTTCTTGTGAAAATTGGGAGGAGGAGGAGGGATTTATGCCCCACCCTTCACTACCCAAAGAAGTCTCAGAGCGGCTTACAAACTCCTTTCCCTTCCCCTCCCCACAACAGACACCCTGAGAGGTAGGTGGGGCTGAGAGAGCTCTGACAGAAACTGCGCTTTTTCAAGAACAGCTCTTATCAGAGCTACAGCTTGCCCAAGGTCATCCAGCCAGGTGCAAGTGGAGGAGTGGGGGATCAAACCCGGTTCTCCCAGATTAGAGCCCGCGCACTTAGACCACTACACCAAACTGGCTCTGGTCTTATCCAGCAGGGCTCTTCAGGAGGTCCCATGTTCAACCCCCCGCATTTCCATTTAAAAGGACCAGGCAGGAGGTGATGTGAAAGACGCTCTGCCTGAGACCCTGGAGAGCCGCTGCCCGTCTGAGTACTGATTCAGTATAAGGCAGCCACAGGTGTTCATGCATCTATTCGTGTGTTCAGGTAGCCTTGGAATTCCCCTAAGGATAGAAGAGTAGAAGAGAGATGACCTGGCGCAGAAGCCACATCCAAAACCTTCCAGGGCCTCCTGGTGAATAATTAACACAGGACATAGGGCCGCCAGGTCCTCCCAGGCCACCGGCAGGAGATGGTAGGGTTGCCATCTCCATGCAAGGAAACTCCTGGGTATTTGTGGGTAGGACAGGGACCTCAGTGGGGTACAATGCCCCGGAGCCCCCCCTCTAAAGCATCTCTTTTCTCCAGGGGAACTATTCTCTGTCACCTGGAGATGTGCTGTAATTTCATGGGATCCCCAGGTCCCACCTGGAGGCTGGCATCCCTCACGTTCCGCTACGCAACCCATTCTGAAATGAGAGGGTGTAATGATTCCATATTTGGGTGTGTGTGTTCCTTTAAATGTTTAGTTTGACTGCAGTTCTGTAAGGAGAGTGGTAGAGGGTGACAAGTGTGATTTGATTTGCTGCTGACTGAGAGTGTGGGAGGAGAGATGTCTATGAGAGTGATTTTGTGTGTGTAAAATTTGAAGAGAGAACATGGTCTGTGTGACTATGGGATTTTGAGTCTAATTCTGTGTGACTAAGACCAGCAGTTTAGTCTGTGTGACTAAGAGAGTTGATTCCATTCAGTGTGAATAAAACGAAGAGACTAGCCTGGGTGGCTATATATATATATGAGACAAAGAGTATACTGAGTGTACAAGCCTGTCAGAGTGGAGTTTGGAATTTGAGAGACTGTTTGTGGCACCAAGCTTTGCCAGTTATATTTACAAGTTCCTTTCTTCAGCAACTGTTCAAAATAAACAGAAACCTATTTTGTTCTTTATTAAATAAATCAGTCCTTCCTCAGGGCCACATAGTCCTCTGAAGTGCCCAGACCCTGGGTCATTCTACCAAAAGGGAGAGATTTGGAATTTTTAATTCCCGGTGGCAGCAGAAAACCACCAAGTTTATGTACTCAGAGAGTGTTTAAAGGTAAAACTGTCTCCCCAATAAGCAAGGATGCCACAGTGGGCACCAGGGGTGTGGGACCAGGGGCATGGGGGTGTGTAGTTTTACCGGCTGGCCGCTGATTCGTCTCTCTCTGCCCCAGGCTTGGAGGGGAGCGTTGGCCCGCAGGCGTTGTAGGTACCTCCGGGCCGTCTACACCATCATGTCTTACTTCAAACGCTACAAAGTGAAGTCCTACTTGCTGGAGCTGGTGCAGCGCTTCCAGGCTGTGCGCAGCATGGCTGACTACGGCAAGAGCGTGGAGTGGCCAGAGCCCCCGGCTGTGCTGGCGCAGTTCCAGGAAAACAGCAAGCTCATCTTCCGCAGGTAAGGGCAGGGAGTGCTCCAGGCCCTGGGCAGTAGGTGGGCAGGGGGACGTCACTGGTGGACCTTGCCCACTACCTCTCCAAGCAGCAGGAGGGGGGGAGGGAATAAAGACCTCGGTGTTGTATGCACCGCTACATCACTTTCAGGAAAAAACCAGAGTTTCTGGTGGTTCCTAGAGCTACCCTACGTCACTTCCGGGTTTCTCCCAGAAGTGATGTCATAGAATTATAGAATGTTAGAGTTGGAAGGGACCTTGCAGGTCATCTAGTCCAGCCCCCTGCACTCTGCAGGAGCAGAGCCAAAAGATAGCCTTGCAGCATACCCGAAAGATGGTCCTCCAGCCTCTGCTTGAAAACCTCCAGCGAAGGAGCATCCACCACCTCCCGAGGCAGTCTGTCCCACTGCTCAACCACTCTTACAGTTAGGAAGTTTCTCCCGATATTTAGCCGGTATCGACTCCCTTGTAATTTCCACCCCATTAGACCTAGTCTTGCAATCCGGAGCAAGAGAGAATAGATCCGCTCCGTCTTCTACATGACATAGCACTCCTGATATTTAGCCAGTAACGACTCCCTTGTCATTTCCACCCATTAGACCTAGTCTTGCAATCCGGAGCAAGAGAGAATAGATCCGCTCCGTCTTCTACATGACATAGCAGAATAGAGCGGAACGACCACCTCCCGTGATCTGGACACAATGCTTCTGTTAATGCATCATACCCTGCTGAGCTTGCTCCGTTCCCCAAACCCCGCCCTCTCCAGGCTCCCCCCAAAAAAATCTCCAGGAAATTCCCAACCTGGGGTTGGTAACCCTATATGGGGCCCGTGAGGAATTTGGACTCTCCCCCAAGCTCTCCCTCAGGGAAAACCAAGTGAAAGATACATGCCTTGCTTATCTGCAATCCAAGTTGGTACAAAGAGCCTCTCAAGCAAGGCTCCCTCTGAGCTGTGGAGTCTCGTGAGTAAAAATTCTACTTTGCGAGCTACCGGCATTAAAGTTGTGAGCGAGCGATTTGGCTGTTGCATGAATTGGTTTGCTCTGGAGCCCTCCTTCCCGAGCTGAGACAAAAATGTGTGAGCTGGAGGCCAAAGAACTGTGCGCTAGCTCACACTAACCCAGCTTAGAGGGGACACTGCGCTCAGCCCCACCTGCAGAATGTGGTGGGAGATGAGTCGTAAAAGCCATCAGGGATGAACACCGTCCATAGCTTTGGGAAGAAGCGGCTGGGTGGGGTGCAGTGTTCCCTCTAAGCGCTGGGTTAGTGTGAGCTAGCGCACAGTTCTTTGGCCTCCAGCTCACACATTTTTGTCTTAGCTCAGGAAGGGTGGCTCCAGAGCAGTGTTCCCTCTAAGCTGAGTTGGTGTGAGCCAGCTCACAGTTTTTTAGCCTCCAGCTCACAGATTTTTGCTCTAGCTCAGGAAGGATGGCCTCAAAGCAAACTGTGAGGCATGGAAAAATTTGTGCCAGACCTTTCCTTTGTGTCTGCTGGGGATCGCCAATTTGTACAACGCGGGGCTGACCCTTTGAATTATCTCAGAAGGCCCTGCCCATTTTCCCATGAGGGCGTGTGGCTTCTTTGAAAATTTGCGGTAGAGAACCTTTTGTCCAGGATTCCGGGGGTTTCTCACCCAGCCTAACTTTTTGTCCATGGCTAGAGTGCTCTTACCAATGGCCTGCGCCACCTGCGAGTGTACTGGTTCTGGCTTCTGTGGATGATCGCTTATTCTGTTGTTGTTCAGTCACACAGTCGAGTCCGACCGGATCACGCCAGGCCCTTCTACCTTCCGCTGTCCTCTGAAGCTTGCTCAATTTCATGTTCGTTGCTTCAATAACACTGTCTGACCATCTCATCCTTTGCCGTCCCCGTCTTCTTTGACCTTCAGTCTTTCCCAGCATCAGGGTCTTCTCCGGGGAGTGCTCCCTTCTCATTGGGTGGCCAAAGTATTTGTGAATGTGTGAGCTGGAGGCTAAAAAACTTGTGAGCCAGCTCACACTCACCCAGCTTAGAGGGAACACTGCTCTCAAGGACTTTCTGGGAAAGAAAAAGGAGGGGAAGGAGGTTGAGTCGGAAAGCTATGTCTTCTAGAAGCCAAAGGTCTCACTCTCTCACTCACTCACTCACACACCCCTCCCCTAAGGAATTCCCTCCCCCCTACAGCAGTGGCAACCAAAGCAAGTGAAGCATAGTCAGGTTCGAGAGCCTGATCTAGCTCCTTAAGCAGCAAGGATTTGCTTGAACATTTGCACTCTGGATCGCTGGTCAAACCGGTCTTTGCAAGCCGATCTAAGACTCAGAGACCTGACAGAGGTGCATTGGCCGAATCCCAGAGTCTGGCTGACCCGAGGGGCTCTCTCAAGTGTTTCTCGTGCCCTCTGCAGGTGGCGTGCCAGACAGATTGTGAACAACATCCCTCCCTCTGACATGGAGCAGATCAAGGCCAAAGTGGCCGCTCTGGATGTCCTGCAAGGGCTTCGGAAGGACTGGGGCTGTGGACGGAACTGGGGACGGAACTACTTGGTGTCGGTGAGTATTTGGCAGGGGAAGGGAGGGTCCGGTTGAGATTCAGGTCCTCCGAGGGGTCGTTTCCTGCGGGAGTGCACAGGAGCGGAGCTCCAGCAGTAAGGAGCTCAGTGGGCGGGCGTATGCAACAAGCCCCGCCCCCTGCGCCCAGCAGCCCTCAGTCAGAGCAAGAAGCAGCCAGGTAAGTTGCAGAGCTCCCCCTGATCCAAAACAGTCAAGTGGCACCTTTAAGACCAAGTTTTATTCAGGTACAAGCTCTCCTTCCTCTGTGAGGACAGATCTGCACGTTCTCTCTCCCCCCCCCCTTCCCAATAGCTAGCAATCCAAAACAGTCCAGTGGAGCCTGAGCGGTGGGTGTTGCCTTCTGACACACTTCCAGTGATGTCAGGGGGTGTGGCATATGCAGATGAGTTATGCTAATGAGCTCTTTTTCTGCAAAATGACCCCTGGGTCCTCCCATTCTAACTGGTGCCAGACCTGTCTTTTGTGCGCTTCTGGGTAGGAGAAGACCACAAGAGCAGCTCCCGGGTGGCTGACCAAGACTCCCCGCCCCCCGCCCCAAAAAAGTGGGAAAGCTAGGCTGGACTCCAGTAGCACCTTGAAAACCAGCAGGATTTCCAAGGTAGAAGCTTTTGAGAGTCAAAAGCTCCCATCGTCAGATACAAGCCAGACTTGAATTGTGCTCTTCTAATGCAAACCAACACAGCTACCCCTACCTGAAACCGCGAAAGGGGCGCATCACTTGGCCACTCTGACTTACTGGTGGTGGTGAGTCGTTATGGTTCGCTTCCCCCCAAGACCAGAGCTGTGTGAGACGGGAGGCTGGACTAGAGGGACCCTCCCTGGTCTGACCCAGCAGGGCTCTTCTGAGGTTCTTCTCAGGGGAAGGCCTCGGCCTCTCTGCCCTGCTGTTGGCCCTCCGGAGGAACTGGCTGGCCCCTGTGTGAGACGGGAGGCTGGACTAGAGGGACCCTCCCTGGTCTGACCCAGCAGGGCTCTTCTGAGGTTCTTCTCAGGGGAAGGCCTCGGCCTCTCTGCCCTGCTGTTGGCCCTCCGGAGGAACTGGCTGGCCCCTGTGTGAGACGGGAGGCTGGACTAGAGGGACCCTCCCTGGTCTGACCCAGCAGGGCTCTTCTGAGGTTCTTCTCAGGGGAAGGCCTCGGCCTCTCTGCCCTGCTGTTGGCCCTCCGGAGGAACTGGCTGGCCCCTGTGTGAGACGGGAGGCTGGACTAGAGGGACCCTCCCTGGTCTGACCCAGCAGGGCTCTTCTGAGGTTCTTCTCAGGGGAAGGCCTCGGCCTCTCTGCCCTGCTGTTGGCCCTCCGGAGGAACTGGCTGGCCCCTGTGTGAGACGGGAGGCTGGACTAGAGGGACCCTCCCTGGTCTGACCCAGCAGGGCTCTTCTGAGGTTCTTCTCAGGGGAAGGCCTCGGCCTCTCTGCCCTGCTGTTGGCCCTCCGGAGGAACTGGCTGGCCCCTGTGTGAGACGGGAGGCTGGACTAGAGGGACCCTCCCTGGTCTGACCCAGCAGGGCTCTTCTGAGGTTCTTCTCAGGGGAAGGCCTCGGCCTCTCTGCCCTGCTGTTGGCCCTCCGGAGGAACTGGCTGGCCCCTGTGTGAGACGGGAGGCTGGACTAGAGGGACCCTCCCTGGTCTGACCCAGCAGGGCTCTTCTGAGGTTCTTCTCAGGGGAAGGCCTCGGCCTCTCTGCCCTGCTGTTGGCCCTCCGGAGGAACTGGCTGGCCCCTGTGTGAGACGGGAGGCTGGACTAGAGGGACCCTCCCTGGTCTGACCCAGCAGGGCTCTTCTGAGGTTCTTCTCAGGGGAAGGCCTCGGCCTCTCTGCCCTGCTGTTGGCCCTCCGGAGGAACTGGCTGGCCCCTGTGTGAGACGGGAGGCTGGACTAGAGGGACCCTCCCTGGTCTGACCCAGCAGGGCTCTTCTGAGGTTCTTCTCAGGGGAAGGCCTCGGCCTCTCTGCCCTGCTGTTGGCCCTCCGGAGGAACTGGCTGGCCCCTGTGTGAGACGGGAGGCTGGACTAGAGGGACCCTCCCTGGTCTGACCCAGCAGGGCTCTTCTGAGGTTCTTCTCAGGGGAAGGCCTCGGCCTCTCTGCCCTGCTGTTGGCCCTCCGGAGGAACTGGCTGGCCCCTGTGTGAGACGGGAGGCTGGACTAGAGGGACCCTCCCTGGTCTGACCCAGCAGGGCTCTTCTGAGGTTCTTCTCAGGGGAAGGCCTCGGCCTCTCTGCCCTGCTGTTGGCCCTCCGGAGGAACTGGCTGGCCCCTGTGTGAGACGGGAGGCTGGACTAGAGGGACCCTCCCTGGTCTGACCCAGCAGGGCTCTTCTGAGGTTCTTCTCAGGGGAAGGCCTCGGCCTCTCTGCCCTGCTGTTGGCCCTCCGGAGGAACTGGCTGGCCCCTGTGTGAGACGGGAGGCTGGACTAGAGGGACCCTCCCTGGTCTGACCCAGCAGGGCTCTTCTGAGGTTCTTCTCAGGGGAAGGCCTCGGCCTCTCTGCCCTGCTGTTGGCCCTCCGGAGGAACTGGCTGGCCCCTGTGTGAGACGGGAGGCTGGACTAGAGGGACCCTCCCTGGTCTGACCCAGCAGGGCTCTTCTGAGGTTCTTCTCAGGGGAAGGCCTCGGCCTCTCTGCCCTGCTGTTGGCCCTCCGGAGGAACTGGCTGGCCCCTGTGTGAGACGGGAGGCTGGACTAGAGGGACCCTCCCTGGTCTGACCCAGCAGGGCTCTTCTGAGGTTCTTCTCAGGGGAAGGCCTCGGCCTCTCTGCCCTGCTGTTGGCCCTCCGGAGGAACTGGCTGGCCCCTGTGTGAGACGGGAGGCTGGACTAGAGGGACCCTCCCTGGTCTGACCCAGCAGGGCTCTTCTGAGGTTCTTCTCAGGGGAAGGCCTCGGCCTCTCTGCCCTGCTGTTGGCCCTCCGGAGGAACTGGCTGGCCCCTGTGTGAGACGGGAGGCTGGACTAGAGGGACCCTCCCTGGTCTGACCCAGCAGGGCTCTTCTGAGGTTCTTCTCAGGGGAAGGCCTCGGCCTCTCTGCCCTGCTGTTGGCCCTCCGGAGGAACTGGCTGGCCCCTGTGTGAGACGGGAGGCTGGACTAGAGGGACCCTCCCTGGTCTGACCCAGCAGGGCTCTTCTGAGGTTCTTCTCAGGGGAAGGCCTCGGCCTCTCTGCCCTGCTGTTGGCCCTCCGGAGGAACTGGCTGGCCCCTGTGTGAGACGGGAGGCTGGACTAGAGGGACCCTCCCTGGTCTGACCCAGCAGGGCTCTTCTGAGGTTCTTCTCAGGGGAAGGCCTCGGCCTCTCTGCCCTGCTGTTGGCCCTCCGGAGGAACTGGCTGGCCCCTGTGTGAGACGGGAGGCTGGACTAGAGGGACCCTCCCTGGTCTGACCCAGCAGGGCTCTTCTGAGGTTCTTCTCAGGGGAAGGCCTCGGCCTCTCTGCCCTGCTGTTGGCCCTCCGGAGGAACTGGCTGGCCCCTGTGTGAGACGGGAGGCTGGACTAGAGGGACCCTCCCTGGTCTGACCCAGCAGGGCTCTTCTGAGGTTCTTCTCAGGGGAAGGCCTCGGCCTCTCTGCCCTGCTGTTGGCCCTCCGGAGGAACTGGCTGGCCCCTGTGTGAGACGGGAGGCTGGACTAGAGGGACCCTCCCTGGTCTGACCCAGCAGGGCTCTTCTGAGGTTCTTCTCAGGGGAAGGCCTCGGCCTCTCTGCCCTGCTGTTGGCCCTCCGGAGGAACTGGCTGGCCCCTGTGTGAGACGGGAGGCTGGACTAGAGGGACCCTCCCTGGTCTGACCCAGCAGGGCTCTTCTGAGGTTCTTCTCAGGGGAAGGCCTCGGCCTCTCTGCCCTGCTGTTGGCCCTCCGGAGGAACTGGCTGGCCCCTGTGTGAGACGGGAGGCTGGACTAGAGGGACCCTCCCTGGTCTGACCCAGCAGGGCTCTTCTGAGGTTCTTCTCAGGGGAAGGCCTCGGCCTCTCTGCCCTGCTGTTGGCCCTCCGGAGGAACTGGCTGGCCCCTGTGTGAGACGGGAGGCTGGACTAGAGGGACCCTCCCTGGTCTGACCCAGCAGGGCTCTTCTGAGGTTCTTCTCAGGGGAAGGCCTCGGCCTCTCTGCCCTGCTGTTGGCCCTCCGGAGGAACTGGCTGGCCCCTGTGTGAGACGGGAGGCTGGACTAGAGGGACCCTCCCTGGTCTGACCCAGCAGGGCTCTTCTGAGGTTCTTCTCAGGGGAAGGCCTCGGCCTCTCTGCCCTGCTGTTGGCCCTCCGGAGGAACTGGCTGGCCCCTGTGTGAGACGGGAGGCTGGACTAGAGGGACCCTCCCTGGTCTGACCCAGCAGGGCTCTTCTGAGGTTCTTCTCAGGGGAAGGCCTCGGCCTCTCTGCCCTGCTGTTGGCCCTCCGGAGGAACTGGCTGGCCCCTGTGTGAGACGGGAGGCTGGACTAGAGGGACCCTCCCTGGTCTGACCCAGCAGGGCTCTTCTGAGGTTCTTCTCAGGGGAAGGCCTCGGCCTCTCTGCCCTGCTGTTGGCCCTCCGGAGGAACTGGCTGGCCCCTGTGTGAGACGGGAGGCTGGACTAGAGGGACCCTCCCTGGTCTGACCCAGCAGGGCTCTTCTGAGGTTCTTCTCAGGGGAAGGCCTCGGCCTCTCTGCCCTGCTGTTGGCCCTCCGGAGGAACTGGCTGGCCCCTGTGTGAGACGGGAGGCTGGACTAGAGGGACCCTCCCTGGTCTGACCCAGCAGGGCTCTTCTGAGGTTCTTCTCAGGGGAAGGCCTCGGCCTCTCTGCCCTGCTGTTGGCCCTCCGGAGGAACTGGCTGGCCCCTGTGTGAGACGGGAGGCTGGACTAGAGGGACCCTCCCTGGTCTGACCCAGCAGGGCTCTTCTGAGGTTCTTCTCAGGGGAAGGCCTCGGCCTCTCTGCCCTGCTGTTGGCCCTCCGGAGGAACTGGCTGGCCCCTGTGTGAGACGGGAGGCTGGACTAGAGGGACCCTCCCTGGTCT